GCAGTTTATTCAAATACCATATTTTTATTCGTATTATATCGTAAAAAACAAATAGATACACAATTGCATTTAAAATATTTTTCTTTTGTAAATACAAATTTAATTTGCAATGATTATAACTCAAACAAGGTAAAATGATATTTGAAATATTTTAATATAAAATTTCACTTAACTTTATTTAGAAACAAATTTGAAAATTGACGATGCATCCTTCAACACCTGCATAATTTGTTTCTCATGCAAGTTGTGTTAAATCGCTTGATCGAGAGCATTATGTCGAAAACAAAGGTTTATGAAAGTACGGAATTCACACATTCTACAATGTAAAAAGAAAATCTTGCGTTCGATTTTGTACGAACGAAACGATAAAATCTACTTATTTCAATCGTTATGGGACGTGGGAGGGGAAATATTTTTACATTTGAAGAAAATGCAAGATCGAAAATCTCGTATAAGCGAGGAAGAGATGCATTGAAACTTTCACGAGAAAAATGTCGTCACCAATCTTGTCCCGGTTAAAAGAAAATACCAAGCCATCGATAGAAATAGTGAAAATCAATGAGTAAAAGAAACGAAAGGGGGCAAAGGAGGGGGTTTATAAATAAATGCAATAAAAATAATAAAAGCTAATTTTATGTTATTACTATTATCGATCGCGGTAGTACAATAATTACGACGAATGAATAAAACGTGAAATGATAATCGGTGTAAACCACCTGGCTTACGCAAGAAGACACACACGAGGAGAGATTCGTGTTGAGAAAGCATAACGCATGCGGTTCTCAGATAACATCAACCACCAATCACCGACACGGTGATTCTCTCTTCTCTTTCTTCTTTCGTCTTCTTCCTGAATCGCGAGCTCTCCATTTCTTCTTCGTGTACATATATATATATATATATTTTTTTTTTCTTTTTTTTCTTTCTTTTTCCATAGTTAGAAGTGCTGCACTCTCAGGATGTGCTGGTAAAAAAAAAGAAGATTTTCATCTGGCCTTTCTCTTATAAAATACAATCGTTGTTATAACAACTTTGCATTTTAATACGGAAATCAAGAGACAAAAAAAACAAATATCTTTTATCTTTGTTTCTTAAATGGGAATTGTTGTTTTAAAATGAAAAATCTTATTGTTAATAGAGAAAACATATTTTATTCCTTTTTTTTTTTGTTCGTTAGGTTCGAGATGTTAAAAACAGCGGATGGTTCGATAAGTGGTTCGTTGAAAGTGATTGAATCGTTGAAGTCTAAGAAAAAGGGGAAGAAAAATAAAGGACAACAAGATGGTGCTGAATGGACATGGAAAGAACAAGTGGATCTTGTCAAATATTCAAATGTACCAATTGAACAAAGTCTTTTGAGACTTGATGCAGATTTAAGTGCATTGTCAGTGGAGTGTTTCTTATGTTTGATGAGATATATGGGAGATCAACCGTTACCTCCAGATATGAGCGAGGTCAAATGTGTCTACACGATTCTCATGGTAAAACATGTTTATTAATTAATTATACATTCATATTAATCATTTAAATAAATAAGTCAATATATATATATATTATGATTTCAATTATATTCATTAATTTGAAATGAATTATTTATTAGCATTGTCACAAATACGAATTATTACGTGACGAAGTTTATTGTCAATTGATGAAACAAACGACAAACAACAAGAGTCCAAATCCAGACAGTTGTCAACGTGGATGGCGTCTTTTCAGTATCGTTGCTGCTTATTTCACTTGCAGCGAAGGATTAAAACCATATTTAACCAAATATCTCGAAACTGCAGCTTACGATAAGAGACGAGCCTATCATGGTACCGCTACGGTTTGTCTTCAAAATTTAAGAAAAACGGTTAAATATGGTGGACGCAAAAATGTACCAAGTGTGGAAGAGATTATGGCTATTAGTGCGGGAAGAAATGCTAAGAGACAAATTTATAGATTACCTGGTGGAACCGAAAGAGTTATCAATACTAAATGTACTACGGTTGTGCAGGTTCTGATTTATTTTGATTTATTTTTAATTAATAATTTATATATATCGTTGAAATGAAGTATCTGATGAATTATTTGTATGTTTTATTATTTAATTAATTATAATGATTAATTAAATATTAAAATAAAGATAATTAAATTAATTAAATTATAATTATAATTTTTTTTAATTTAAATTACATTAATTTAGTTTATTATTTAAAATAATTTAAATTACATTAATTTAATTTATTATCTAAAATAATTTAAATTAAAATTATAATATTATAATTTAATTAATTATATTAATTAATATATATATAATATATTTTAATTTTAATTTTAATAATATATTATATTTTTTTAAAGGATGTCATCGAAGAAATGTGCAATGTTATATCTGTGAGAAATCCACACGAGATGGATGAATTTTCGTTATATTGTATAGTCGATGGGGATGCATTTACAATGCCATTGGCAAGAGACGAATACATATTAGATGTTACCACCGAATTACATAAAAATCATCAGGTGTTTTATTTAATATTTTGCAGGTACGATTATTTCAATACCATTTCATACCATAAATATAATGCATATTCATAACATACATTTATGCCAATAATTCTATTTTCATTTCTTAGATCTGTGTGGTATTATTCGTTAAGGCTTGATGCACCATTGTACATAGAAGTTGTTTTTAACCAAATTGCTCCGGATTATTTAGAAGGACTCTTATTAGTGTTACCCGGAGAACATTTACCTCAAGAAATTATTGTAAGTATTACTAACATTTTTGTTTGATTTTATTTTGTTTTTTATTGTTCCAATTTTTAAGAAAACAACATTTCATTTCAGTACGATATGGCTCAAATAGCAGCACTTTTACATAGAGCAGCTGACATGGCACATGAGCCTGCTACAAAGGAAATAAAATATTTGTTGCCAAAACCAGCTCTTAGTTTAAGAGAACCAAGACCCCAGCAATGGTCAAACATGGTTCAACAAGCTTGGAACAATGTACAACATATAACAGCAGCTGCTTCCAAAGCTCAAGTATTAGGTAAATATCATTTTATTTATTAACAATATAATTTAAAGAAAGAGTCATTGAAATCTAAATCATAAAAACATACTTAATGAATTTTTGTGGATTTTTAGAAATATTATCAAAATGGCCGTTATTCGGCTCGAGTTTTTTCGCCGTAAAAAGAATTCCAGAGGGTAAAGAAAAGGGTGGTGATCACATATTGGCCTTGAATCGTCACGGTGTACATTTCATAGATTTAGTCACTCATGTGAGTATTAAATATTTTTAATTTAAAAAAAAATTAACATATATATTTTAATATATTTATTTATATAATTACAAATTAAAAATATTATATTTAAATATATTTATATAAATATATTATATTTTTTTTTTATTTATTATATATTTTATTTTATTTTATATATATTTTATTTATATATCATATAAATATAATTTGTAACGATAATATGAATAATATTTTAGGAAACGTTATATCATTATCCATATTCCGAAGTAATATCAACGCGTAAAGTTAAATCTGAAGAAGGTACCCTTTACTTGGATATGAAATGTGGCAATCTTATGCAACAACGTATTACCAGACTGCAAACAGAGCAAGCTCATGAAATTTCACGTCTGATTAGGCAGTATATAACCATGGAACAAAGAACTACAAATTCACAGGCCGGTGGTGGAATTGGTTTTGGAATGAGATAAACTAATTAACATTAAAATTTTTCTTTTTTAAATCTATCACTGTTATAAGATGAATCTTAAGATCATCGTTTGAAATAACTATGAACGATCATCTTCTTCTTCTTCTTCTTTTTCTTCTTCTACGATCGTTCGGAATACGAAAGTAAAATCGGTTTGAAGATGGAATTATCTAAGCGTTTACTGTAATAACGATTGTGTAAATAGCACCGAGTAATAGGATCGTTTAAAGAATGAAAAGAAGAAGTTCATTTAAGAGAGAGAGAACGACGATTCTGTACGTCGAAGGAATTTTATTATTAAATTCCTTTTGGGGATATTTTTTTTTTCTTGGTTTTAGGATTCAGTACAGAATACTAGTCGAATCCTCTCTTGATTTATAATATTTATATAATTTACATTCCTTTTTTTTTGTTGTTTAATATGTACTATTTACTTATACTATTTTTTTTTACTTTACTTCTTTTTTGTTTCACTCTCCAAATCATGACATTTATTATTATCTTTAATAATATAGATTAAGAAAAAAAATTATAATAATAATTAATTGACGGAAGTGACGTCATCTACGATTAGATTGAAATCGATGTTTATTAAAACTAACAAAATACTAAAGGACGTTGAATACGACTGTTTCTTTTTTTCGTGTTATAGACAATGTTATGAAAAAAAAAATATAAGACCAATATTTATTTGTTTTAAAAACTATTCAATTTCATCGATTGTTATCAAATTGATGAAACTTCTTTCTCAATTTTGTTTATTTAAGTTTATTCGTTACGTATAAATATACGCTCAATAATAAAAAATCATTGAACATGTTGAGAATTAAATTCATTTACTCGAACACGAGGGAGCACATATTTATACAAATTTCATAAGAAATGTGAAAAATCAACAATTCTGTTTCTCTCTCTTTCTCTTTAAGAAAAAAGAATAAGAGAGAGAGATAAAATATGTAAATCAACGTAAAAGTTGATAAGACTAATCTTAATGATTACGTTTTCAAAAGACTAACAAATAGAGATTATGATATAATAAAAAAACAATAATAAAAATAATAATAATAATATTAATAATAAAATAATAATATTAAAAATAATAATAATAATAATTGTATGTATGCATATAGAGATATGATGTGTGAAAAAGGAGTTTTAACTTTATATTAAAATTTGTACCTATATATACCTAACGTGAATCTTGAATGAACGTAAAAAATGTTATCACCATGAACACCTGGGGTTTGTAAAAGTAATGGTACGGTAAAAAAAAAAAATGGATAAAAAATATTTTATACAAATTTTTTGCAATATGATTCAAGTTTTAGTTCGTATTCGAATAACAAAAGTTTTGCATCATCATCATTATTTTCATCATCATCGTCATCGTCATCGTATGAGTTTAAGTGAATGTTTTTTTAACAAAACTTGAATGTCGATGAATTTAAACGATATCAAAAAATAATTTTAAAAATTTTATTGGTTCCCGTTGTGTTCTGGACTGGAACCAGGTGTCTTTGCTTTGACATCTTGAGGCCAATTGCTTGCAGTATGACGAACATAACCAGGATCCGTAGGTGAGGAAGGTGTACGAACACCAGTTTGAGTTCCAGTCGATCTGAGAGAACTGAAACATTCTTCCAACATTTCGATCTCGTTCTTACTTCTTTCCTCTATCTTGCTAGGAATTCTTAGAGCCAATGAACCATTCGAAGAAATTCCACGATCTTTTTTTAATATGCTCGGTGATGTTCCTCTCATTTTTACTGGTACGTTGTCGTATTGGCTGGAGTCGGAGTATCTGAAAAAATATTTAATACAAAGTATTATATTAATTTTTTTTATTAACATTTTGTATTAAATTATTTCATGATATACAAAAAAAAAATAATTAATTATTTTATGAGTAATTAAAAGATCAAAATAGAATTTAAATTTGCTTGTAAAATAATTGATAAATTTTTATACCAAAATATTTCATAAATTATTTTTTATAATGGAAAGAAAATCATTTTTAATAATTATTAATTAATAATAAAATAATATAATTTAAATATATAATAAAAATAATATAATTAAATAATAATAACGTAATAAATAACGTAATTAAATGATAAACATATTTGTCTTTGTCGAATAACAAAATAATTAATTTTCAATATTTTTTCTCGAATTTGCAAACGTTATTAACGTGTTTATTTAATTTGCAAAAAATTATTAAAGAAAATTTCTGTAATAATTATTAATTTAATAATAAAATAATATAATTTAAATATATAATAAAGATAATTTAATTAAATAATATTAACGTAATAAATAACGTAATTAAATGATAAACATATTTATCTTTGTCGAATAATAAAATTATCAATTTTCATGACTTGTTTTCAAATTTGCAAACAATATTATTATCTGTAAAATATCATAATCAAATAATTTGTACCTGTAAGTATCGTGAGGTTCATTGACATCACGTTGAATTTTCATAATCTTCACGCTAGGATTAATAATTTTGCCAAAGATCGGTTCGTTGTTCAATCGATTGAGATTAGTTGGAAATGGTGGTGTGTCGATTTCATCTACTGGTCGTTGATAAATATCACGAGATTTATAAACAATTCTCGAATCATCGATTCTACGATTATCGTCAAACGTTCTGTTTCCAGAATTACTTCTTTGAAGTAGTTCAGCTTCCCTATATCTTTGAGAATCCCTTAAAACACGTCCATTTTCAAAATTTTGCGAATGCTCCCGTAATTCTTTTTCGACAATATTGAAATGACGATTTCTTTCCAATTCGTAATTGTCGTATGGGCGTGATTCCAATCGTTGAGGTTTATCTGAATCTTCATCATTGTTTTCCTTGCGTCCACGAACATCCATTTTTTCAAATCCTTCATTTATCTTACCGTTGATTTCCTTCGATTCTTCCTCCGATTTTGAATTTAATATTTCTTTTGTAGGCATAATTTCCTTTTCCGTTGTCATCGTGGTCATCGTTGGTTGTTTAGCTGTGGCATTTTGTAAAAGTCTCATTGTAAAGGATCAACGGACAGGAAAGGAACATGTAAGTTTATAACACATTCAAAATCGGCAATTTATAATCCTACGTTGATTTAATAATTAATATTAATTATTAATTTGTTTGTTTTGATATTTATCTTTATTATGTTTTTGTTTAATTATAGTAATTTTGTTAATATTTCAAATTATTATATACGATATTCAATTAAATGCCAATTACGAATGTGTTATATTAAAATAATTATAGAAAAATATATGTTTAAACAAGATGATAAAAATTACAGTAAAATCATCAAAGATTTCATATTATATTTTTCATTATACTTTTAACATATTCTCTAAATCGTAAAGATTAAATGTTAAGAGAATTCTCAAAAACAAAAAAAAATTTTTTAAAATTAATGAAAAATATGAAAAACGATATTAAAATCAAGGTGATCCAAGATGATCCAGCATTTGATGCGGACGAAGGTGTAATTTAAACAGACGAGGAGTGACCTTTTCCTGCTTTCAACTTGCCTGAATCCTTATCGTTGATTATTCTCACTTCCTGTTTATCCTTTTTACGAGGAGGAGATATTAACAGATCTGCGATGAATGCTAAAGCTGTGATTAGAGCTAATGCACCAAGAACAGCAGCATTGTCGATCAAATCTTCTGGAATACTTTCGATTGATGCTAAAGCGAGAGCACCGACGATTCCAAAAAGTATTATTCCAAGACCAAGGAAGAAGATTTCCTTTAAATCATAAATAAAATTAATTAAATAAACAATAGTATTCGATTATAATATTATTTTAAATAATAATTATAATTTTTTTACATAACAAAACTCATTTATGTGTGTGTCAAATCGAATTATTCGTAAAATAAAAATGTAAATTATATTCATAAATTCAAATATATTTTAAAATTATTTTTTATTCAATAACACTTTAAAAAAAAATTGTATAAAATTTTTTCATTATTAAGGAAATTAAATTTTTAAATATGAAAAGTTAAAATTAAAAATACAATTTTAATAGTTGAATTTTTGAACAAATTAACGAATCCTATTGCAAAAATAAATTATATACTAAAATTAATACTGTATCATATTAATACTATTAATAATATAATTAATTAATTAATAATAATACTATTTATATTAAATTATATACTAAATTAAATTTAGTTTATTAATTAAATTAATAAAAACAAAAGAATTTCTAAGGTGTGATACGTATTAATTCTGAGTAAAAATAAAACAATTTTAATAGTTGAATTTTTGAACCAATTAATGAATCCTATTGCAAAAAGAAAGTACATATACTAAATTATATTGTAAACATTTCTAAGGTGTGATACATATTGATTTGTAATAATCATCATTAAAGCAAACACTACTGGATTGAACTGATCAATTCGAGATTATGGCCTAGCCCTACTTATGAGTCATAAAATAAGTTAGAATAGCATGCATGATGAACAATTTAATGATCGTCGTTTACCAAGGATAACGTTACGTGCCTAAGATTCAATACAAATTGCACTTAAGGACACTGCAAACCTTGGCCACCAATGACAACTTCTCTATGAATGCATGCGTTCGGTTACGTTGTTGATATTCTCACGCTGTCATTTAGTTTTACAATATTTTCATACGTAGCAGAACATAACCGCACCCGATAGAAATCGACTTTGCTCTGAATAAATTAAAACAAAAAGAAAAATTGAAGAAAAATTATCCTGAGAAATATCACGAAGAGTAGAATCCGTTTTTTTTAATCAGTATGTATAATTTATTTAATCTTGTGTGTTTCTTTTTGTTTATTTTCCAAATCTTTAAAATTTATATTATCTGTAATTAACGTTATCAATGACACAGATTAATTATTTTTTATTATTTTTTATTAATTGTATTTTTTTATTTTTTTTTATTATGTGCATGTATACACTCATTGTCAAAGAAAGTCAAAATTAAATTACATTTTACGAGTTTACCGTAAGAACTTATGAAATAACCTGTCATTGTTTAGTAATAACAATTTAGCGTGCATAAAGTATTTATAACACCATAATAAGCTAGTCGAACAAACGTTCATTAAATACAAAAAAACAGAGAAATATTATGGTAGCCTTCCGATAGAAATAATGTGAAAAACCCAAACGGAAATCTATTTGACAAGTTTGGTATTGTAACTGAAGGAATTTTTAGGATAAGCATTTGCAGTTAAACAGATAGGTTTCTTTATGTCGTTAAAATATTACAATGCATGGTTATCGCAAGAGAAAGATACGCGGGCTATGGGAACATCGGAACAATGGGATAATTATGACACGTCAAATGTCGACTCGTGTGTCACCCCTTTTTTGTATTTTTTCTTTTTTTTTATTAGTGTTCTTCGACAATAAAAAAAAAATAATGAAAAAACTAAACGAGGAAAACTTTCATGAAGAAAAGGATATCGTTTTTGTTCGTTTTACCTTTCGTTGAAATAAGAATAGTACAATTTTGTGTGTCAAGATACAAATATATGGAACCACATGCATATATATACATACATACATTCATATATAGTATCATCACACTTACGTCACTTATGAAGAAATATTAATTACCATTTTTCGACCTGTAAGTTCGTTAGTTGCCGCGGCAATAAGAAGACCTGCAGTTATGATGACGTAGCCACCGCAAGTTGCTGTTGCAAGAGCAGCACCTAAATCGTACCATCATTTATAATATTTGTCTAGACAACATTTCAATATTTTTCACACATTTTAAATTGAATATATTAACCTTAATATCATCCACATTAAAATATATTCCAAAATATATTTTAATTTTTTTAATGAATTACAATACGTTAAAGCGAACGTTCATTTTTTTCTACATATTTTTCTTTATTTTTGTGATTTATTTATTTACCTATGGTACCCCATGTGACGTTGTTTAAAAGGGACCACTCTCTGCTGCGATTTCTTAAATAATGAAATACCCTTCTGCTTTCGTCATCGGTCACTCTGAGTGCTACCACGCATGCGATGCAAAGAAGCTGAAAAATTTTATTCAACCACACCCCCCGACCCATCTTTTTGTTAAAACTTTGAATTTAATTGTATTTATCTTGAAAAAAAAAGATACATTTGTCGAACGTTTAGAATCAATCAATTTTCTAATTAAGATTAATCTCGTTAGAAAAAAAAAGATACTCTTCCTTCCTTTCTATTATTCGAATAATTTTGTTTAATTATCTGAGAGAAATCTCACGTTGAAATAAAAAAAAAAATAATACCTATTATCCAATTAGAATGAGAATCGAGGATAGTAGGGTGTAAATTTTACATACCATTTCGATTATTCTGATGAGCACCTTGCGATTCCACATTTTTATTGTAGATGACAGATAATTAAATGCGATGGTTTAAGTTAATTGATAACAAATTAAAAGGAAATAAATAATTAGTGATTATAATATTTTTTTTTTTATAAGATTTTCATCAACCACTTTTTTTTTATAAAAATTGTTCAAAATTTCTGTCGACAAATATCTTAAACCATCTATTTCCAAAATACATCACTTTTATCAACCCTATTTCTTTTTTTTATTCTTTTTTTTGTTTCTGTCAAAAACTTATTTTAATACTAACTAACTAAATAACATTCCTGTTAAGTTAAGCAAAAAAAAAAAGAATAAAAAAAAAATCAACGAACTGTGTCTGACGAAAGATGTTTTTCGTGTACGACGAGAAAAGTGACACACGGTTGACCGATTTTCCGAAGTAAACTTTTGTTTCGAATAGTTTAAACTATCTCTCTTAAAATACTTGCACCGATTTTCAACATCAATCATTTCAATCTTTTTTCATTTTTTTTTTTTTTTTATTTAATTCATTTGTATTGATTTATTTTTTCATCGTAAAATACATACACGCAATAATTGTTATCGAAATTACTCAAAGTACTTTTTGATGAGATTTTGTAAACATTTTGTTTTTTTTTTAGATATTTTGTTTATTATTCAAAAAATCTTGAATGTGATAGACCAACGTCGAGTCAGGTAGTAAGTAAACAGGTAAGTTTGAATCGCGGCACGTTCAAACGACAACTGAAGAGATAGCAAACCTAACAGCACGATTTCCACTTATACCCAGTACCGCGAGTCTTACAGCTTTTACAGCAGCGTGTCTTGTAATAAGGTCTCTCGGTATAGCAGAAAACAAGTATGCTATTATCGCATAGAGTACATTGGCGCAGGATCTAAAGAATTAATATTTTTTTAAGGAAAAGGTTAATGAACTTTATTATTAAATCAATGATAAATTATTTTAACAATTAATATTATAATAAATCCAAAATGTAGATGTAATACGACACTTCTATCAATCAATATAAAATTCAAAATAATTTTTCACTGTTAACAGTAATTATTTATTATGAAATGATTTAATTTATAATATAAATAATCACCAATTTTTGAGTAATTTTTTTTTTATTTAATTCACTGTCATAATTATTAATACATAAGTGTAATCATTTATTTATATATATATATATATATATATATATATATATATATAAATTTATTTGACGTTTGAATAGTTTGAAAATAATTCGACGATAAAAACATAAAAATACAATTTCTTGAAGATTTATACAGTGAAATTAAAAAAAAAAATCGTTTCATTCAAGCAGTGATGCATCAGTTGATGCAGGAAATGATTCATCTGAATACGAAAAAAAAAATATAATGATTAGATTTGTCAGATCGTAGCAGATTCGATCGTTAATTGAGGAAAAAGATGAACTTATGTAATTGAGAAATTACGTAATGGAGAAAGAGAATGATTTATTTTTGCAATGATATATACATAAATGATCAATTGATTTAAATAATATGTAAAATACAAAAACTATAGATTTCTTTTTTGTATAAAAGGTACTGGGGACGCTCTTGTGTGACAATAACAATGATGATTAGATAAGTTTAAAGTGGAAGTGTGCCGTGTTAATGTAAAGAATGTTCAACTTGGTCAGTTTTCAACGTTGGGTTTGGTCAATGAAACCTAAACGTTACGAAATTCGAAAGAAAGGTGATAAAATGAATGTTTCATTTATTTTTCACATTGTATCTTTGTGTGTGTGACTAGTAAAAATATATTACTATTCACAAACACAAAAATTTAGTTGTTTAATAAAAAATAGTGATGCATGTATACGCGTATAAATTTATATAATAATATTTATATAATAAATATATTATTATTTACAAAATAATAAAATAATAAAATTTAAAAACATTTATATTGTAAATATATTATTATTTACAAAAATATGTGTAGTTATTTAATAAAAAATAGTAATATGTTTATATATAGATATAGATATAAAATATAAAGGATAAATTCGTCTCCCTTTATTATTTTTTTTTTTTTTAATTATATATATCAAGATATTCACAAACGTTTAATTACGCATTATTTTTATGAAATTCATCCTATTACACGCAAATCTTCAAGAATGACTAACCCATCGTGCGTCAGAATCTTTCTTTTTATCACTCCATATAATATATATGTAAGTATTTATATACACATACACATATTTACATACATATGTATGGTTAGCTCTCAATTTTTCTTTTTTTTTTTCTAATTCTAACCATTACATAATTATTTTACGAAATTACATTTAACCGTTTGCGTACCAGAGGGTTTTGAAAAAACACGATCGACAAACGCCAAGGAGCGCGATCGCGCTCCTTCTATTATGTGTCGAAAAAAGCCGAAGAGCGCGATCGCGCTCCTTCTATTATGTGTCGAAAAAAGCCGAAGAGCGCGATCGCGCTCCTTCTATTATGTGTCGAAAAAAGCCGAAGAGTAAAAGTTATTTCCAATAAAATATTATTTGTTTTTCAATTTTTTCATATTTTTAATTTATAACATATTTTACAAAAAATATACTATGTACATATATATATGTACATATATATATATATATATACTATTAATTTAGAATAGGTAACAACCAAAGACAAATTGGTTACTGGCAGCGATGCGACGCGCGACGTATTTTAAGCGTCTGAAAAACTGAGCGCGTTTCTACAAATATCGGGTGGACCGTCAATTGTCGGTTTCGGCCAAATGCCCTGGCTTTTCTCGACACAAAATCTGAAGAGCGCGAAAGTGGCTCGTGGTACGCAAACGGTTAAGAAAGGAATAAATCTTTATCTACTTATTTCATCTTTCACAAATCCTCGTTAATTTTATGATTTTATTTTATCGGCTTTGTATATTCGTCAAATTCAAGATACATTTGAACGTAGAAAAATAAAACAAATGTCTGATTTCCTCATCTTTTCATTTCAATATAAGAATTCAGAGAAAACGCAATTCTTTTTTCTTTCCAATACATTGACACTTGAATTTACTACTACAACGAGATTGTAATTAAATTGGAAACATTTTATTTTTTCGTTATATTATGTTTAGTCGTGTATATATACAGGGTGGAATTTTTCTTTTTCATTTATTTTTATAACATTTTTTTAATACATTATAAATATATATATTTTTATAATGTATTAAAAAGAATATTAAAAAGAATATTATAAAAATATTATAAAATATTATTTTTATAATATATTATTAATTTATATAATACATTATAATTAATATTAATACATTATATAATATATTATAATATTTTTATAATATTTTTTTATAACGTGTTGAGAATGAACATCCTTACGTTTAATAAAAATACTTCAAAGATATTTCTATATTTTTTGTATTATTATTTATTACATATTATTTTGGACAACCCTATAAATATATATGTTATTTACTCGTTGATTGTTTTGCGATAAGGATTTCCTTGATACACACAAATAAACTCGATCCTTTAAATCTAACGGATATCGTATTTAAAAGAAGAAAAGAAAAGAAAAGATTAAAGAAAAACCGACAAAGCAATCGTCTTTCCCAATATCAAAATATTATTTGAAATAAAAAATAATCTACGAAAAAGTATCGGATTTCTAGGAATGATAACGAAAGGATATTATACTTTTAACTGTTTCTTTTACGTCATAGAATATTATTGTTAATTTTTATAGTAAATATTCTTGAATGAAATACTATCTTTCAATATATTACAATTTTTCGATATACAATTTGAAAATATGTTGAAATATTTTTCATACAATCGATAAAATCAATAAATTCATTAGTTCATTCAAAAAAAAAAAATAAATAAATAAATAATTGTAGTATAGATCAATCTGATAAAATATTTCGTTATAAATTCTTTGTTATAAATGTAGAAAGAAAAAGAAAAAAAAATTGAAGGATGAATGTTGTTTATAAAAATGAACGTCAACGAGATAGCCTTGAAAGTCTGAATTAATGCATGCTTCACGTAATCAAATCTTTCGATTATAAATTTCGATTATAAAAGCGATATGAAGAATCGACACGTGTAATGAAACAAAAAAAAAAGAAAAATTGATAAACGAAATTGAGAATAAAGGAGGAAAATTTGACCAATGGGAGATTCGAAATAAGCGCCATCTGACCCTTAATACACAAGGCCCTTTGAAACCAAGTTCGGGGAGGATAGAAAATTTAATGAAAGATTGGTCGTCAGTTCGTGACAACCTACGCTTGATTTCTAAACAAACTATTATTCGTCGTGAACTTTGTCGTGGATTTTGTCTCCATTTCTTTTTTTTTTTCTTCCTCTAGTTCTTCTTTCTCCGCTGAAGTTTCTCGAAGTCGGGTGGTGAATAAAAAAAAAAAAAGTAATATTAATATATTATAATAAAATCGAGATTATTTAATTGATCGGAAAATTATAAATAATTTTGAAAATGCTCACCTCAAGGAGGACGATCTATCGAAATGGAAACAAAGAGGGTAGGTCATTTATGTCTCTTTTTTTTTTGTGTATCGTTGTAATCTGTGAAATTTTATTTTTTAATATTTTATTGTTTTTATTTTTTAATTATCGTTTAATATATTCGATATTTTCTGATATTCGACAATGAGATGTTAAATAAAAAGAACAACGTAATAATCGATAATCAAACTGTTATTGTAACAACAACAATTGTTTCAGTCTAAAAAAAAAATAACTTTGTTAATTAATTTTTCTGTTTTATATTCACTATTTTTATTGATTATTTATGAAGATGTTTTTTTTTTTCCAGTTACATGATTATGATATAAAATACCATGTTTGATATCTTTGTTAGTTAAAAAAAAAAAAATACTATACATTCATATATACATATATAATTTATAAAATAAAATAAATTATATTTTATTATCGTATTGCATCGATTGATTAGTATTGCGACATCCTGCATAAAAATAGACAAACGAATTCTGTTACTTGAACAACGATTAATCTTATCGATCCCCTTTGTTGAGGATATTTATCGCTTGTATTAAATCGATCGTTTAAGTTTACTTTCAAAAAATATAGTATATAATGTGTATTTTAAAAATGAATTCATTCTAAATTGATATATGTTAAAATGATTAATTGTATTACGATTTATTGAATTATTAAAATACGAATAGATTTATTTATTCAAGAAAAAAACAAAGAATTATAAACGAATACTTTTCCCTTAGGTAACGCACATTTTTTATCGAATTCATCAAAAATAAATAATAAAATTCCGGACTTGGAGGAAACTACTAAAAAACTGTTACAATTGGAATTGGATTATAATTATCAGATAACGCAAATCAATGGACAAAGAAAATTTGGACCACCTTTGAATTGGACCGGTCCAGCTCCTGATCCAAAATGTGAGGTGTTCGTAGGTCGAATACCACGTACAATTTTCGAACCTGATTTATATCCGATCTTCAGTCTGATTGGACGTATTTATGAAATTCGTTTAATGATGGATTTCTCAGGAATGAATCGTGGGTTTTGTTTCATAATGTATACCAAACCGGAAGATGCATATCATGCTGTTAAGGAGCTGAATTATTATGAAATTTGTCCTGGTCATAGAATAGGTGTCGTTAATAGTATTAACCATTGTCGTTTACTAATTAAACAATTACCTTTGAATATCAAAGCTGAAGAAGTAGTTCAGGTATTAATGTTTTCTTGTTACTTATTAAATTATTAATTATTATATAAAAAAATATGAAAAATAATTGCATACAAATTTTCAGCGAATTTATGATACCACGGATGAAGTTAAGGAAGTATTAGTTTATCGTAACTATAATGAACCAGAATGTTACGCAATAATAAATTATCAAACTCATAGAGGAGCCGCAATAAGTAGAAAACGATTACTACCCTTAACATCTTCTCTATTTTCTAATAGTAAAGTTATTGTTGATTGGGCAAATCCTACTTTCCGTCCGACAGACGTGGTAAGTATACTTGAAGTATTCTGATTGGATCATTCTAATGTGAATTATATTTAAATGAATGATTCGATAATTAATATGTATTTGTCGTTAATTTGCAATGAAAATTGTTACGACAAATGTAATCAAAAAATGATTTCGTTAAAGACGTGTTGTTATCCGTAAAAAAATTTTGACGAATGTTTAAAAAGAACGACGAAAAAAAAGTGTAATTCGTGTTTGCAAAAGATAAGAAAGGTAAATCGTCATTTTCCAAGCGTCTTTGAAGAACAATGACGTCGGTTATCTCAGGTCTCACGTAAAAAACGGAACGTGGGTACTTTCGCTGTTCGATTATTTCTCTATACGAACGTTATTACTATTCGTGAGAAAAGTTGCCACCACCCCCCGGAGTTCATTCCTTCAAATATGAATCGTTTGGTAAAATCGTGTTGGATCACATGCGAACGTCCTTGCAGTACCTTCAATTTAAAATATTTTTTCACGGCCTTACGAATTTCCTGCTTCCACACGCCACCATATGCATTATCTTTTTATTCAATAAAAGAACAAAAGTAATTCAATATATTTTTCATTAACGAATATCGAATAGAAATATAAAGAATTATTGTAAAATTTATTTACTTATATTTAAATGATCAAAAATGAAATTTAAAATTTGATGTATTATATTTATATAATTTTGTTTTTTTGAATATTTAATTAACATTTTTTTACGTAAAATTGTAATGAAACTCATGGTAACAAATGTAAATTAGTTTAACGATTTCAAAAATTCCCGCGGTAACGTTGGATTATCGACGGACACTGTTAGTTCCCAAACGTCCGCTGAGTAGCGCTACTAGTAGCTACCGACGGCGCTGCTGTATTCCTCACCTCAGTCGTACAGTGGATACCGTGCGGTCGTGTTGCAAGTGACAGCTATCTTGTTATTATCTTTATTAAAGATTATTATTACTACCTGCGCCGGTTTTAAAGTAAAACGAAGATGGAGAATAACGTGTATAGTGATTATAGAAGCCCATTGTCGACCAGATACGCTTCGAAAGAAATGCGATACAACTTTAGTGAACAAAAGAAATTCAGCACATGGCGTAAACTTTGGGTATACCTTGCGAAGGCTGAAATGGTTAGTAATTTTACTATTACATAGATCGAACTTATTATCGTTCATTATAACAAATTATATTTTGTATATTTGTTTGCATCCTATAGATGATTTTTATCTTTATTTTTATTCTTTTTTATCTCTCTTATTAGGTATAACGGCACCAGTTATTATTGCATGCAAAGTAGTTTTTTTGTAAACTTTAAATGAATTTTATTTGCAGTGGTTATTATAGAAATTAACGTTTTTTGAAATTTTAATAATATTAGAATTGTTATTTTATCGTTTTACATGAAATTGTGTCGATAAGTATGTTACTAAATCCGTTATCTTTTTTTTATTAGTAAAGGTTATCTTGTGTTGTTTTAGGGGATATCGATTTAGACCTCCCAAGTAAATGTTATTTTGATATAAACAATTTTTTATTCGAAGTCAACATAAAAAGATTGATAGTGAACTTGTTTATGATTGTTGTCGAAATCCTCATCTTTCGCAAACACGAATTATTACGTAAATTAATAATTAATATGATTAATAACTCATACATTTTTGTAGAAAAATAATTCAATTTGTATTTCATGTGTAACCGATGATTGATAAGATCTTTAGTTTCGCATGAAAAATAATGTCGATAAAGAAGTATGTGTTCTTATCGATCGTCGATGTAGACAAAATTTAAAAAACAAAATAATTTTCTTGCAAATTGCGATTAATAAGAATAAAAGAAATTTAATATTAGATAATAAGTAAAATGCAAGTTGCTGATGACAGTTTGAGGAACGTGGTACTTGCGATGAGGATGGTAGGATCACGTTGAAGAAGGTATACGTTCCTTCTACAGAAAGGTATTCAAAATCGACTGAAAAATTGTCAAAAATAGGTGACCAATTAACTTTTAACGCAAACGGAAATTATTATAACCACAACAACAACAGTATAAATTATTCAAAAAGATTCGTCAATGAATCCTTGCCATCGTTTTCTTTGGCAAATAAAATTATGAATTATGGTAACTAAAATTATTATCTAAATTGTTTTTTAATTTTATTGATTTTGAAATATTTTTTAATCATCTCCTATAACAAATATATTCCGATATATATAGGTAAGCTTAAAAATTAATTTAAAAATAAATCCAATAATTTTTTTTTAGCAAAGGATTTTGTAAAACCCAGTAAGTCGAGTTTTCAAGAAAGAAAAAAAATCATTCAACCAAACACTCGTTCATCTACAATAGTATTTTCGAATAATTATCTTACATCTAATCTGAATCCTCACACATTATCATTTTTTCAACAAAATAATCGAATATTTACCAATAATAATATCGAAGGATCATCATTGGATCAAAACGATTTAACATTGAATCATGTAACTCCCTTCAATGATAGAAAAACTTTGTTACAACCGAAAGAAGAATTCATACAATCCTATCCATATTCTCAAGTAATCAGTATGTTACAATCTTATTCTAATTTAAATGATAATTCTAATCAAAATGATTCAACGAATTTGAATCAACATGATCAAAAATCTAATCCGTGTTGTTTCATTTGTTTACCAAATGTATCTAATTATAATTGTCTAAAACAAGAAGAAAGTCAAGAAAATTTGAATATCAATAATTTGCAAGATGTTCAACAAAATCAATTGATAATAGACACTTACAATCCACAAAATACTATTTACAAAGATGTTACAAAATATAATAATGTAACGAATAATGTACCTTCTTCTTCTTCTTCTTATTCTATTGGATCGAATTATTATTTCGAACAAGAATATAATGATAATCGCATTAATTTGGTAAATCAATCGAAATGTTGTTACGTTAAAAAACAATTAGCTTGTGATTTCTGTGATTGTGATCAAAATGATAACGTTTTTAACATATTAAAATATTCTAAAGGTGGTAGACCGATTCTTAAACGAAAATTATGATCTCTGGATAACTTCTTCTTTTTTAATTTTAATTTTCTATTTTATTTCTTAATTAGATTAATCGTTATTAAGCATATCAATCATAATCCTACAAAGATATGCTTATTCATGTAATTCTTATTAAGGTTTTCTTTATAATGACGTTAAGTAATTATAATCAATAATTAATCATATTAATAGGAGAACATTCATTTGATTCAATATTATCGTTTTTTTATAGAGATCACGTTTTCTATTTAAATATCATAATGTATAGTTAAGATTATTATCATTTTATCCTCATTATTATATTATATATCTATTTTATTATTATTTTATTTTCTAATATTTTTCGCGTTCTTTAAATATTTTATTATTACATATTATAAATACAAAGGAATAATATATACAATATCTTTACAATCAGTAATCTATCACATTTTTTCTTTTTCTTTTTATCTACCAACAATATTAATATTTAAACATTAATTTAAAATATATTCTATTGTAATTTACACAAAGTGTAAAAAGAATAATTGGATAGGATAAAAAGATTTAATTTTGTGTATCATGTATTTTTTTTCTCTTCATTTTTCTCCTCTTTTTCAATAGATATCAGCGAAAAATGAATTTATTAATTGTCAAATGAAATTATTTTTATGTTACAGTGTATTATGTTGAAAATAAATATATCTATTAAGATAATTATATTTACATGTATCGTCTCTGTTAATTTTTCAATTAACATTTTTTAGATTATAATCTAAATAATATTTTAATCGCATTTCTAAAAAAATTTATAAATTATAAATGACTTACATTTCGATTTATAATAAATTACATATCACAGATATATTTCAAGATTGTAATTTGCCACATTTCATACAGTAAGAAGGTTTCTCATCGTGTTTCTGTAAACATTATAATTAATTTAAATTAGATATATTTATATATCTGTGAATGAAATGAATAAAGTATTTTATAAAAATAAAAAAACTTACATAAACAACACCTATGCTACGAGCATCAATTATACATGGAAAATTTCCACAAACAGAACACTTTTGTAAGATATCTTTGCTTTCATTTATAATAATCGGTATCTAAATAAAATGATTTATTAATAAAATCATAAATAATTGTTTTTTAATATTATTTATATTATATATATATATATATATATATATATATATAATTTTTCTTTACTTTATTTGAATGTGAAGGTGCACACAAATCGCAGCAAATTCTTCCTTCGTTATCCTTGTAGATATTAGAATACTGAAATATATCGGTTTGCGGAATCTGTACGTGAATAAACATTCAATGAATAATAATTTAAATATTAAAATTGTTATAAAAAAATTAAAGTAATAATTTTCGTTTACCTTTTCTTTTTTACATACTGTGCATATGTCTGTAACTGTCGTAGTTGCATCCTGGAGAGTAGTATACATCTTCTTCAAAATATGTAAAATAAAAAAGGATCGTTTTTTTAATTGTCTTTTATTATTTTTGATAAAATTATAATAGGTAATTCAAAGTTTACCAACTGCTGGAATGTCGACGCATTGAAAGCATGGATCTTCCGTTTGAACAGCATAATTATCACATTCTCTGATAAATAAATGTTAGAAATATATAAAAAAATTAATTGTACTTTTATTTTATTATATATTTAATTTAATTATATATTATATATTATATTTAATTATAAAATTAAATATAATTGTAGTTATAATTGTAATAATAATAAAATATAATTTAATAATAATATCAATTAATAAATATAATTATAATAATATTTAAATATGTTATGTTAATTAAATTAAATATATATAGATGTTATATTTAATATATATATATATATATTAATTAATATATAATAAATTAAATATAATGATTTAAAAAGCACTCACTCCATGTAGTAACATGGTTCGATTTTATTATTTCGTTGGAATACCGAAGATATGATTTTACTTCTGTTACCATGTGGGCTTTCAGTGATTACTTCGTGTCTAATTAATATGTAAGAGAAAAAATAATATTATAAATATTATTTAAATTTATATAAATACTTGAATTGCTGTATAATATTAATTTATAAGAATGTGTGAAAATGCACATATTCATTGCGTAGTCCTGTTCAACGTGTGATCTTTGAGTTCTTGGTTTAACATCTTCCAATGGTAAAAATCTCGAATAAGTATTAATATCTTCTTTTTTATGTTTCGAATTTTTTTTAGATTTTAATTTCTTAGTCGATTTTTGATTTTTCACAATATTAGAGTTTTCTTTTCTTTTTCCTGCTTTATGCATTGAATCGCACTCTTTTGTATCACATCTTGATTTATTCGGTAATTGATTTGATCGTAATTCTTTAACATCACTTTTAATACTTTCTGCAAAATATATAAAAAAATCTAATTGTAAGAAAAAAAATTTATATGCAAAAATTTTTTTTATGATTTATTATATAATATCAATAATTATTAACATGGAATTTTTTTTTCTTTTTTTACAATAACTCGACTTACATTAATCTACTGTCGTAATTAATGGTACATTTGTTTTGTTTTTTTATTTCTTTTTAATTTTTATTTATGTTTTATCGAATTTTATTCCTTTCTCACATTTTCTATACGATACTTTTACCTGTAATTTCTTTACTATCTTTGATTTGAACAGGAACTTTTGCCTCCTCATTCATGATAATATTGTTTCTTTCTAATTCGACACTTTCAGAAGTAATCGATAATGTTTTAGGCTCAGTTTCTTCAATTTGTTCTATCAGAATATCATCTCTCGGTGATTTTTCGGTAATTGGAAGACCTTTCTGTAACGGTATGTGACTAAAAAGAAAAAATAATATAATTTTAGACACTTATGTACGATATGTTTAAAAATATGATGATTATCAATTTTGATTAATGATTTTTACGTAGTAACAATTTTTTCTTTAGATCCGGTTGAAGTTGTTACTTCCATTGATGTTCTTGGTGTTGCACAATATACTGTTACAGTCATTTTTGTGAAACCTATGAGAAAAGAATTTATTTTTTTATTTAAAAAAAAATATATATTTAACATATTAATATATTAACTATAAATTATTATATTTATATAATATTATAATAATTTATTATATATATATATTTATATAATTATAATTATATTATATTATATATTAATAATTATTATTATTATATTAATTATAAATATATAATATTAAGAGAGTTTACTACAAAATTTATAACCAAATATGCAATCTTATTGGATTGAAAATGTAGTATAAATTTATTCACGTATTAGATGTAAAAAAAAATAGTAAGTATTAATTGTTTTGAAATATTATTTAGTGTTTTTTATACTGAAAAAATTATTCTCTCCGTTCTGTATTTTTTTTTTTTTTTAATGAAGTTTTAAATTACATTTCATGAAAAATTCTCACCAGTTAAAGCTTGACTAGTATCGTCTTTCGCTCGTTCTCGTTGAATTTCGTCTTTCGTTTGTTCTGGTTGAATTTCATCTTTCGTTCGTTCTTGTTGAATTTCATCTTTCGTTTGTTCTCGTTGAATTTCATCTTTCGTTCGTTCTCGTTGAATTTGATTATTCGTCGTATCTTGTTGTTCCTTATGATCAATTTTTGGTATTTGAACATGAGATCGATCATTTTTCTTATGCCTATGTTGTTCCAAAGATTTTTGTTCTTCTATCTGTAAACCTTCGTTTTTGCAATTGCAACTGTGTAACATAAAAAATAATCTTGAAGTATAAGAGATTAACACGCGTTCATTTGGAGTAAATCATTGGTGTTTGTTGAATTAAAATTCATTATTTGAGACAAAGTATGAAACAAAGAACTCACTTGGGATCACATGGACAATGAATACTACCTCCTCGTAAAAGTTGGATCACAGTTGAACAAGGTACACATTGGGAAGATGTTTTTTTTGTTAGAGTTGACGGTGCTCCCAAAGTTTGAAGTTGTTGATTGCAAAACTCACATTTACTCATGGTTTGTACCAAAACTTCTTTCAGTTCACATTTACAGGTCTGTTAATGTATGTTTTTTTTTAAATAAACAAATGATAATCATTCGATCAAGTTTAATTTGAATAATTAAATTGATCAATTCTTAATATTTACCAACCTGTGATTCAACAACAGTTACGTGTTTGGGTTCCGTTTGAATTTCAACTACTTTAACGGCAGCAACTGATGGTACACTTGTTGGAACATCCACATATTCTCGTCTACGAGCTATACTTACCTTACGTAAACTGTGATCAGGTTTAGTGGTTTGAATCGTTTCACCATTTTTTGGAGATACTTTGATCGTACTAACGCTAGTCGTAGTATCACGTTTAATAATCTGAATAGTGGGGAATATATATTTGTTTTTAATAACACGTTCGTATATATTTGAATAACAACGTTAAAATATACTTCGGTAGATGGCAAAGTTTGATCTTCTGGTTCTGGGAAAAATAATAATTCCTTTTGTTGATAAAACTTTTTGTAATTTGCACATCTATTTTTCCAAATACTGAAAAACATAAAAATAAAATAAAATAATAAAATGAAATAATAAAATGAAATGAAATAAAATAAAGTAAAATAAAATAAAATATCATTATACTTCTCATATGTTTTTTTAATAACAAAATAATTTGTTAAGTAATTCGAGACTCACGCTAGTACGATTAAAATGTCCATCAGAAAAAATAACGATAGTACAAAACTGAAGAATATCAATGTCATCTTTACATATCTAAAATTGTCACTGGTGTATGGTGAAAAAAGTAGAAATAAACTGGCGATAAAAAAGAGTAGAAAACCCAGCATGGAAAACGTGAACATCTATAACACAAAGTAGTATTAAAATATATTTTTAAATATTAACAGTAACGTAATTGATCCTATTAAATTTGTACAATCGTTTAACCCTTTTGAGTGCTGAATACTTTTAACTAAAATGTTTTGTAGGAACAGGAAATAATTTATTAATAATAAATTATATTTAATAATTAGTTTTTCTTTCTGAATATAATTTAAATAATTAATATAAACATTACATTATTTTAAATTAATATTAATAAACACGTATATACGTCGATAGATCACTCTGGTAATTTTTACTAAATGCATATGTGCATCCATAGCACTCTAAGGGTTAAAATACATTAATTTATTGATATTCTAAGGGTAGGGGGTAACAAAATTTATTTTTACCGGAGTGAGAGGTAGACTCTTAACACCATATTGAAAAATGATTTCCAGACTGGTGACAAATGCGTAAATACCGTTTAAAATAATTAATAACAAGCAAACGATTGTAGGTATTGGTGAACCTGGTATAAAAATTATGTAAACTGCCAGAAAAAAGAGGAACATCGAAGTGATCTAAATCAATAAGAAAAACAAAACAAATTTGTTTTCTGAATTAATTTTCATTTTTGATGAATCTCAGGAAATATTTTACCTTATCTACCTTTACTTACAAATTCAAAAACCCTGATAGGTTTTAATACCGACGTATAAGGAGTGTTGTCTTCTTGATAAAGTAGCTGTTTCGATTGGTCATCGTTCGTAGGTTCTTTATCTGATTACAAAGATAAAGAGAATTGTTTTTGCAAAAGATCATTTCGTTTTTTTTTTCATAATTTTTATTAATACTTACCTTGCTCGGACATACTTTAATTACGAACTAACATGAAATATATATTTATTTGAATCCTTATGTCAAATAATTCTTTACCAACTTGTGTCAATGTTCATTCATTTCTTTTGTTTTTTGTTTTTTTATTTCTCTTCTTTTTCTCGATCACACGGGTTGGCTATGGACCAATGGTTTTTTTTTTTTTTTTTATTTAAAACGATAGCTATACTTGTATTTAAGTTATTATAAAATTTTTTATTTGGTCATTTAATAAAAAGACGAATATTTTGCAATTGATAGAAATAAAATTTTTATTACAAATAAAAACATTATTTAAACAGATCATAAAATTTTGTCGTAAAAATTAATTTGACAATAATGATTCGAATAAAAATAATAAAAAATCTTTTAATAACCGTATAAAAAAATTAAAAGAACATCGATTAGGTATAAAACAGAAGTAATCACTGATAACGCAATGGTCGTTATTAGTCTCCAGATTTCTCTAATTTCGCTTTTTCTAGTGATACTAAAAATTTGAAAGGCAGCTAGTAACAATAATACTGCACCGACTATTCCAAATAGAAACATCTAAAAAAATTAAAATTTATGATTTATAAATATGTTAAAAAAACAATCACTTAACCCATTACCCACCTATGGCCTTTTTTGGGACGCATTATCAAATTTTTTTTTTATAATAATTACAACTTCAGAATGAAATATTAAAAGTTATGAAAATATTACAAATTCTCATTATTTAATTTTAAATGAATAATAAATATTATAAAATAATTTTATATATTTTATATATTTTTAATAATTTATATATTTTTATTATTATATTATATTATTATTATAATATTATTAATATATTTGCATATTTAATTATTTATTTATTTTATATATTAAAAAAAAAAACAATTGTTGCATAAATAGTTCTATTTGATTAGTATGAATATTATTATACAGCTAATTTAATTTAATTTTTTTTTTTTTTGTATTTTTGTATTGTGACGGGTAATGGGTTAAATTATATAAATTATTGAAAAATACATTTTTATTTTAATATTAATAATAATAAAAATATAATATATATATATATATATATATCTAGATAGATACTTTGCAAAACCAACCGGTGTTTCCGATATTGGATCTCCACCAAATTGGCTGATAATGTCAATAAAAGTTATGAAGGTAAATGAACCAAATACCAAAACTAAAAGAACCTTGTCCGTTTCTGTATAAGGTGATCCGTAAATGATCGTATAAACGATTAAACCAACGAGGGAAGATAACAATGACTAAATCATTGACAAAAATAATCTAGTAATATAGTTATAAATTATTATTTTAAATAAATATAAAAAATACTTACGAATTGTAAGAGTCTTATGGGTTTTATTATCGGTATGTGTTCGTAATCGTCATCGTACGTTGGTCTGGGTTCATAATATGGTGGTACATTGTAAGGGTTTGGTATCATTAATTAAAATAACTCAAATTTTATTTCTTTTTTTTAATTTTCATCTCCCAAATAAAACTTATATTCGCGGTAAGTTAAAAGTAAATTGGATAACCATTTAACCATAATCAAACATATTCGATTGAAATGTGTTTTTTTTTTTTCAGATCAACTTGAATGTAGCTCAAGATTAAATTAAATCACATAATCGATATTAATGTTTTATGAATTTACAAATATACGTGTAAATGTAAGATTATATATATATATATGTATCTTTTTAATTTTATTTTATTGTTTGAATTATATCGTACATATTATTTTGTTGATAATATTTATTCATGTCAGTGAAAAATATAAGTGTATTTAACATAAATTGTCTATTACTAAATTGTACAGGTGGTCAAGGTGCTGCTGTGTGTTAGATAATTTGATATATATATGTATATATAATATTTAAATAATTATAATATATGTATAGTAAATATTACAAGTATTATAAACGATAGCACGTTTTTTTTTTTGTAATTTCCTAATATTAAATTTGTTTTATATAATCTTTGATAATACGCATAAAAATACGTAAAAAATGTTTTTTTTTTTTTTTTTTAAACTAAATCTACAGAAATATTTCTAATGTTTGATTTTACAAATTATTATTATTATACTTAATAAATTTGGACGGATTCATTACATATATATATATGTATATAGATATACGTTCTTATGTATTAATTAATTACGTAACATTAAGATTTCTTACAAGATATATTATTTAAACTTTGGACTTTAGCGTTGTACAATAATTGTGTTTTTTTTTATTTTTTTTATTTTTTTATATTTATTAAAATCTGAAAACTCTAAATTATATCGATATGCGCGAAAATGTATAATAATATTATTAAAAAAAAAGAATAAAAAAATTATTCATTTTATTGATCGATAAAATGCAAAATTAATTAAAAAAATAAAATATGAATTTAATTTTGACATTTGTTTCTTTTTTTTTTTTTACGAACACATATGGTGATAATTCATTTTGTTTTTGTTGTTTCATTTTGATCAAGAATAATCTTTCTTAAAAATTATTAACGATTATATATTTGAAAAATAATACTTTTTTCACGCACATTTGTTATTTCTCATGTCTTAGTCGAAAATTTTAAAATTAAAAATACTTCAGCAACGAATGCTAATGCATTTAAAAATACAAAAACTGCAGAAGATATTAACATGTCCATGTATTGTTTGCTCGGATATATTTCGTTATTTATACCATAGTATGGCCTTTGTATGTTACGCCAGTTGTGAACGATTAGGCTACCAGCAACTATGTGTAGAATCGCACCCAACGAAGCAAACAATATCATCTGTAAAAAATTTACGTAATTGATTAAAATACAATCAAAAGAAAATGGAAATAATTTTAACGTATTAGAAAATATCAAAATTATTTATTAAAAAAAAAATCAACATTGTTTTTGTCATTTAAAATTTATAAATGTAAAACCTATTTGATTACTCCAAAAAAAAAAAAAAAAATAAATAAAAATCATTTCTACGTATTATAAAATATCAAAATTATTTATAAAAAAATAATCAACATTGTTTTTTCCAAATAAATTTGTAAAAATAAAACCTATTGGATTACTCGTAACAAGGAATTACGTAAGATCGGTTATATACTTTCAAAAGCGTAATTGAAAAAATCATTTTCTCATAGATTGTCGTGTTAGTTTAATTATTATGAATTACAACATCTCCTTGTGATTATGTTAATAAAAAATTCTTCATAATAATAATTTAATTGTATCCTTAACCTTGTAACGTGTGAAAATAACTGGAAAATTGAACTACCTGTATGGAATAAAAATATTCAAAATAATTTGTTTCAATTTCATACGAGATTCTTTAATTCATTGTCTAATTAATTAAAAAAATAAAAAATAAATGTTGAGATCTTTTATATTATTTTCATAATTAGTAAAGGTGGAAATAAAGAGACAAATCAGATAACTAATACATTGACAAACTAAGTGCATGAGTCAAATGCTTTAGCAAGTCTCGTAAACAACAGGTTTTTTTTACATGATGTATTACGTTATAGCAAAGTTCCTTCAATCGTCCGTTAAGTGTGCGCCGATACTACTATTACATCCGTTGGCATAACTAGTCACGAAGGATACGAGATGTTGCTTGTAAATAACTGTATGTGTGTGTTAGACCTTGATGCGGTTTACTAATTATTATCGTAAACGTCTCGCGTGGTTTTAATAATGAGTCAGCTGTATAAACTAATCGACAAAAAATTTCTTCTATACACCTATGATCAATATGTGTGAATTATTTGTAAAAATCATATTATAAATGAACAACTCATATAAATCAATTTAATTAAATAATAGTAATATTGATTATGATTATGTGTTTCTGAAAGTATTGATAACTAAAGTATGAAATATACAAAAATTATTAAGAAAATATTTTACCGTTCTTTTTGGCAAACGATCTCCAAGTAAATGGCATATAATGAAAAGTGTATTTATCATAACATAACCGGCCACTGTGACATAAATGAAGGCTGCATCGTCTAATTTAAATCGTGTCTTGTTGAAAATTCTTTGAAAGGAATTTAAAGGATCTACCATTAATCCAATCGCGAAGATGGATAGTATCTGTAAATGTTAAATTTATTTTGTCAATTATTTTTATTTCACATTATTATTTAATTCTTATATATATTTATAATTTTATTATATATTAATTTATATAATTTATATATAAAAATTTAAATATTATATTATTATTATTTACATATAAATATAAATATAATGTAAATAAAAACAAAAATATAAATATAATATAATAAAATAATGTATATATAATATTTATATAATTATATTTATATTAATATTTAATTTTTATTAATTTATTTTTAATTACTATAATTAATATTTATATATAATTTAATTTATCAATTAATTGTAATAGATACTTACGATTTCGACAACTTTGAAAGCAACCGTAATATGTTTTGAGATTTTACTTTCCTTAGGAACTTCAGGTGTTCTTTGTGCTTCATCGGCCATTCTGACCCTACGATGTTTTCCTTTACCGTCGCCCAGCTTGGATGATTACTAGATCCAACCTTCAACAACGATCGATATCTTTTATTATACCTTTTCGCGAGAAACCGAATTGTCTACAACCCCCTACGAGACATACGCAGTGATAAACATCATTAAACCATGTTGGGGTTGAACCATAAAAAAGGGGTTTGAATATTTCATTGTAAAAAAGAACTTTTCAAGTTTTCATAATACATTGCACAATAATTGTTCTGTTATTGAATTTTTTTATGGAATTATGTCGAAACCATGCAATTTATTTTTTTTTTTCCGTCAAAATATTTGTCATTTAAAAATAAAAATAATAGAAAAAGGGAATTTTATTCAAAATTCATGTAATCTAATGGAAATTTGATTTTCTTAATATTATAAAAAATAAAATTTCTACAATGTACATTTTTATAAAAATTACTTATTTTTATATTTTTCTATAGAATATAAATTTTCAACCAACTCTTATCATTATCAGTAAGTCATTAAAAATATCATTATACGTATGAACTAAAATGATAACGTATTTCAAATTAACTGTACAGTTTTAACATATACCATTAACAACGACTTGTTTCGATGGGAAAAGAAAATAAAAAAAAAAAAAAATAAAAAAATGTTATCTATAAAATGAAACGATATAGTACGAAAGAAAAGTAGTTTACAGATAACTACAAGATAACGTCATTCGCGTTTCCCACGAAACTTAAGAAACCCAAAAGAAAATAAAAGAGAGAGAGAGAGAAAAAAACTAATTACGGGAATTATCTAAAATGTATTAAAAAATTAAGCGTGACCATTGCGTTCTCGGTTGTCGTATCTTTTTTTTCAAAATAATTTTAAACCGAAAAAAAAATAAAAATCAAAAAAATAGAAATAGGGTCGTTCTCATATAGATAAAAACGTCTAATTAATATTTTAAAATACTTCGTTCGTACTACTACTACTACTACTATTACTACTACTACTATTACTATTACTACTATTACTACTATGCCTGACCTATGCTACAGCAATTTGTTCTCATTCGTAGCACCCACGTGTTATCGATCAGACTATATTATCTAATTTTCATAGTTTTTTATAGTCTTACGAACAAATGAAAATTATCTACTATAATTAAACATTTAAAATATACATAATATCCAATATATATAATAATATATATATACGATAATACACATTATATTATCTATCATATAAATAAACATAGAAAGAGAGAGAGAGAGAAATCATGACTTACCTAAATCACACGTTATATTTAACTAAAATTATTGTGCAAAATATTTTCACAATATAATACAATTTCTATGGATTTATCAATGACAAATTGATAACCGTATAACAATTTACTTTCTTCTTAGAAAAAAAGAAAGATAAAGAAAACTAATTGAAACAAATACTTATTTATTTGAATTAATATAATTTTTCACTAACCGCGTAGGTTTCAATTTCTTTAGAATTGTCAGAAAGGTGTTTTAGTTTTGTGATTTTTTTTTTTTTAAACGGGGGCGGAAAGGGAAACTTTCAACGAAGAAAACAGAAACACCACACACTACTATGCTTGGTAGAACGCACAAGTTAAACTGGAACGCCAAGCATGACGCATTGAGTTCTAATGCTGTATAAACGACGTAGCAAGTTCGAAACCGAAGCGCTATCGTCGTCGTAGACGACGTAAACGACGACAACACAACGATAATTTTAAGCTTCATTCACATTCGTCACACTAATGGGGTGGTATGGAGGAGGGAGGAAGGGAAACCACATCCTCGAAACATACGTTTTATTATTACGTTCAGGTAAAATCGTATTTTACTGTTCTATCATGCGATTAGACAGTAAAATATTTCATTGATGTATTTATCGTGTGTTACTACTTTAATACATATTTACAATTGTTTGAATTAAATAATAATTTTTGTGTTAGATTATCATATCGTGACAAATTATATATGTAATACATTTGATAAAATTCATTTCATTGACGTATTTATCGTGTGTACTACTTTAATACATATTTACAATTGTTTAAATTAAAATCATTTTGTATAATAATTGTTTTCTTTTGGATAATTAATAATTTTTGTTATATTATTATATTGTAATAAATTACAAAATATATTTGATAATCTTTATTCTATTTTTTGTTTGTTTTAAGTGTGGGTATTTAAATATTACACGTGTATTTTATAGAATATTTTTAATTATAATTTTTTATTAAAAAAACTCAGTCAATTAATTTTGCATACTAAATGAAAATAATCGACTAGTGTTTTTATTTAATTTATGTAAGTATGTAAAATATTTGTTTTTAAGTATCCATAGCTTGGATAATATTGTGCAAGCATGAATCATTTTTTTCTCAGGTTTTCTTTTTAAAAACATACAGCGTGTATAGTTCACAATCGATTGTGTCACATAAAAAGTAGAAAGAACTTATGTTAGTTATTCTTATAAACGTATAACTTTCCTATATCATTCGTTGAATCAATTGTATGAAAAGAACAAAAATCTAATCTTTTAATAAAATGATATTTAAAATCATTGATTTAATTTAATTTTATTAAAATACAAAAATATTTCTGATCAGATAACGTTTAATTTAAAGAAAAAATTTTTAAATATGTGTGATACATATGGTAATATATTTTTCATTTTGGTATTCAAAATAATATCTCATTTTATGTGATATTAAAAAGAAAAGAATGTAGATATCACCGACATACCCATGGGTGTGGTAATCTTCCTAAATTGCTTTTGAAGATGTATTAGTTAAAAGATATACGTCCTACGACATATATGATTCACCATAATCTTTATAAATGTAGTACTTACTATAATACATTGTATGCACATATGAATGCTTTCTTTTGTAGGATGAAATATTTCCATTATTATTTCTACAAAAAAGTTAAACGATAGGGTATGAACTATTTTTTAATTGTAAATTATTTGTTAATAGAAGTATATTGAATTTTTTATTGAAATTTCTATCATATACACATATATCACACACATGATGATCAAAATATAATTCTATGATATATAATTAAATAATTATTAATTAATTAAATATATTAATATGTTTATATTTATATTATTATAGATATATTTTTATTAAATAATTAATTTAATAAAATATATTAAAATAATATAATTTTACATATAAATTAAAAAATATAATAAATTTATATATTTATATATATATATAAAATTATGAAATACTTTAAAAAAAATATATTTATTATTTTAATTTAATTATATTATACAAATATATTAATATAAAATTAGTTGCAATAAAATTCATCGAACAGGTGCATAAAACACGTCATTATAAATATTTTAATAGAAATCGTAAGTTAAGCAATAGGTAATAATTAATATGACTTACCTGTATCTTCATCACTTTAACTATACTACGCTCATATGCTAAATAGTTGAAAGTAAGCTGTTAAAGAAATAGTACATGCGAGTTATATCTTTTCTTAAGCTTATGTGAAAACACACCCACACATAGATATAACTTACTCACAAACTCAACACGTATTTTACATACATGAAAAATACAATAAACACTTTATGTTATTTATTAGAAAAAGAAAAGAACTAAAGACTTAAATTGTTCGTCTTTGAAATGTTAAAAAAAAAAAAAGATAGAAAGACTTGGTAAATATTGAGACAGATCGTTTTAAAGTCAATTCACCTATAAATGAAAATGGCCTCGTATTAATAAGCTATTTAAATGATAAATTTCAAAGTATAAGGTTATTCGTTAAAATGAATACGTTGTATATAGATCTGTGTCACGATTGTTCACTATATTATTTATCTATCACCATTCCTAAGAAAATTATAAGGCATAATCCATAATAAAAAGAAGTTTTATAAAAATCCAATAGGGGAGCAATCGATTTAATTAATTTGTTATTTCAATAACCAAAAACAATTTTAATTTTAATATAATTTATACAAATTTATATTTATACTATTCTACAGATATTTATCATATTTATTATATCTTTTATAATATAAATAATATGCGAATTAACAAACTTTTTAAATTTTTTTTATTGTATTTCATATTTAAGGAAAATTTAGTCACAGTGAAATAATGGTCACCAACAATCGAGATTTTTTCCATTTTTTTTTAATTTTTTTTTTTTAAACAGGAAATGGAGATTAACCTTGCAACATGTTAATACATAATTTTCATAGCTGCAATATCATTGTGCAATCTGCTTCAAAAATAACCTATGGATATTCATCGTCGTAGATATGCGTTTACTGTAATGTAATAAAACGTGCAAACACGCGTTTAAAATAAAAGCAATAAGAGGAATAGAAGAGGAATAGAAACAGAAAAAACGTATGCAGAAACGAAGCATATATAAACATATATATATATATAAAACATACAACAATAATATATATATATACGTATTATATAATACATAAGTCATCTTATTTCAAATAAGAATAATTATAAATAAAATATGAATAATTTCACAAATTATTATTTTTTAAAATTAATAAATTAATATCATTAGTTTGTTAATATGTTACAATATTATAATAATAACAATTTTAGAAAAAAAAATTAAATGTTATATTCATTGTAATGCATTTATTACTTATTATCAAGTAATATGATTACATTTGTTATTAAAATATTATATCAATCGTATCATCGATTCAATAAAGATCTGTTTAGTGTGTTCAAGTTCAATGAAACATCCTGTGTATTATTGTATATATATGTTTCCGTGAGCAGGAAAAGATCGCATGCTTCGGCGCGCGTAGAAGGCGCGGTTTGATCTTCATTGACGATTACTATTACTGTGTGCGATCTTCCTATTGGCCTTGAACCACTCACACTGGTTTCCTTTGTGAACATTTAAAAACATAGTAAGTATACATTTTAAGTACATCGAAGGGAGTCCCATTTTAATAACAAAAGCTTCTTTATTTTACGACGAGTTACATATGTTTCTTCTTAAGTATTTTTTATTTACTTAATAATTAATTTAAAATTTATTAGAAAAATTAATTCTAGAATTAATACTAATTTATATTAATATTAAATATTAACTCTAGAATTATTCTATTAATTTTAGAATAGAATTATCATAATTATTTATCTAACACTAGTATATATATATATTACTTTATTTTTTAATTAATTAATTTATTTAATTAACTTATCTAACAACAACCTTTTTCATTATCATATTATTTAATTATTATTATATGTTATGCATTAAAATATTTTTTTTTTTTATTATTTTTTTTAGAATTGTATTATTTTGTTAGAAGTTAGAAGTATTGATTTAATTAATAGAGTTTTTGTAAATTATAATAATAAAAGTTATATATATATATATATATATTTTGTCGTCTAAATACGAGAGAGAACTTTGATAATGAAAATATGCATAATCATTTTTTATAATATCATTTATTTTGTTATTATTATTATAACAAAGCAAGGACTCGTTATATTATATGACCTCAGCTTGTTTCACACATCGAGAAATTTAAATCTCGTATTACTAGCTTCGTGCCCATAAGGCATGCCCTCCCTTATTATATTGCATGCAATTATGACTGGTAAACTATTTTTAAATTTAAGAAAACAAAACTCAAGTTTGCGTACGTGCTCGATGTAAAAAAGTATTTATATTTAATAAATTATGTTATTTATTTCATATATTATTTTTGAATAACAGAAGAAAATAAAGATATTTAATTTTTTAATTTTTTTTTCTTTTCTTTTTATAATAGTAATGCAAAAAAAATTGCGACGTAGTTGCATTTAACCTTGTTAATACTGTATAAATCGTTTTCGTATTGATCCGTCGTAACCCATACCAACAATTTACTTAAATTTATTACTGACATAATTATGGCGTTAAAAAAACTTTTACGAACTTTTGACACGTACACGTAATATTATTAAAAAAAAAAAATAAAAAAAAACTTATATACAATACTTTACATTGATTTATATTTAATATCATTTTTTGGAAAATATTTTTATCGATTTATCATCTTATACATATATAATGTATTATTAATTTGAATTATGTATGTTTTTCTTTTTTAAATTAAAAAAAATAATTTCGATTTATCATTGTATATATAATATATTATTAATTTGAATTTTACAAACCTTAGACACACATACGTAATACTATTATAAGAAAAAAAATAGAGAAAAAGAATAAACGTTACTTTAAATCGATTTACATTTTATATCATTTTTTGGAAAATATTTTCATTGATTTATCATCTTATATATAATGTATTATTAATTTGAATTACGTATGTTTTTATTTTTTAAATTTAAAAAAAAAATGAAATTTATATATAGGATTCTTATGTTAAGGTGAATTACTCAAGCGTGCATATAAGAATGTTCTTCCTTTCTGATTCACCAAGGGTTAAATTAAATACGACACTTGTAATTAACATGATTACGTATCCGGATCGTGGGTATTATAGTTAAACCGGTCATCCAAAACGACGATGCTCGCCATAGGGGTCAAGTGGATTAATTGATCTAATAATAAGTCGCGTGGCCAATGATTTTCAAGCACCATATGTCTTTTATTCGATG